TATTCTCCTGTTAATACTTGTGATTGCATTGTAAAATTCTTATATTGCTTTATTCAGCTCTTTCAGACTCACTAGGTTCTTTTTTATACTGGCTGTTTTGTCCTTCAGCTCCTGTAAGACTTTATTGTGATTCTTATTTTCCTTGAAGTGGGTTTTGCCATCTCCGGAACCACTATTCTTTTAAATATAACGAAGTGTGCTTCTTGTGCCTGGGAGATTATGAGTTTCAGAAATAAAAGTCATTAACTTAAAAGATTTCCCAAAGGATTACAAACGTAAAAAGTGGCTCTTTCATGAACTGTATCAGTAATCTCTAATTAAGTTAAACACAGCTTAACTCTAATGGTTAAGAAGCTTCTGGTAGATGAAAAAATAGTCAAGCCAAAGAGACATAAAATGCATTACATATCATTATATGTACTGCAACCTAATAACATAAAATGCATTACATACATTAATGTAATGTAGATCACATATTTAAATTAATACTTTCATGTGTTCATACATAAAAATACACTGATAAACTATAAGTAATAAAAAATGATGCTTTCAAATGTGTCTATTTGCTTTTCCTTTTCATAAAATCGTAATTTCTGAAACATGGAGACAAATGGTTTCTAACTTTTGTGATCCCAAATGTGAGAAATAATGCAGGTAAATATAATTAATGCTGGAATGATGAAACAGGATGCACCTTAAGTATGCACCTGTTTAATTTATAATCTGTTCAACCATCCTAATGGTAGAAGCAAATAATGATTGTTTTTACCACTGAACTGAAAATTCAAGTGATGTGAATATCTATAGATCCATTCCAACCTCAAATTTGGCAAAGTTTGTGGAAACCTGACTGAACAATGTAAAAAAAAAGAGCGAATCCAAAAGACACTGTATTTAGAATAGGAAGTTGATTTCATCTTTGACATTTTCAAATAATGCTTAGCGGAAAGTTCAAGTGATCTGTCTGCATTATAATTTTTAATATTAATTTAATGAAGAATATACATATTTTAGCATAAAATCCATTATCTTAAAATTAATATTTCCTATCAAAATCTTTACATTTAATGAGAAATTAGGTTTTCAATTAATTGTGATTATCACATAATTATGATGTAATAATAATGGTTTAATTTTACTTGTATATTTTTTAATATCTAAGGTGTCAACATATATAACCTCATTTATTCACCACTATAATATTTTCACTTGTTTTTAAGAAATGAAGATTTAGACAGATTATATAATTTACCCAATGTACTGATTATAATGAAGTAGCATTTGTCAGATTAAGGAAAACTCACATGTCTTGAGAATGTACTATCAGCTCTACCCTTCACTATAATGCTCAGATGATGAAATGATTATCCTCACTAATGATATTACTCAGTTAAGAATTAGAACTATCAATTAAGCAAAGATATTTATATCTGATTTTTGCTATTTTTTTCTATAAAGCACTTTAGTTTTTTCTGTTGTAGTTATCACGTATGAATTTAGGTTATAACTTCGGGTACATTTGCTATGCAGAAAGGTTATAGGCTATGCTGTTCTTAAAGTCCAAGGACTGAGCTGCGGCATGTGAACTTTTGTCCGGAATGCCTTGGAAAGGCATAGTGTAATATATGAGAGACAATTTGAAGGTGGCTTTTTTTTTTTTTGAGATGAAGTCTCACTCTGTCACCTAGGCTGGAGTGCAGCGGTGCTATCTCAGCTCACGTCAACCTCTGCTTCCCAGGTTCAAACCATTCTCCTGCCTGACCCTCCCAAGTAGCTAGGACTACAGGCATGTGCCACCATGCTTGGCTAACTTTCATACTGTTAGTAGATACAGGATTTCATCATGCTGGCCAGGCTAGTCTTGAACTCCTGACCATGAACAATCCATTCACCTCAGCCACCCAAAGTGCTGGGATTACAGCCATGAGCCATCATGCCTGGCCACAGGTGGCTTTTATGAACTTTTGAAAATTTTGATATTCATATTCCAAGCCATTAACATTTCAACATTCTTGATTTCCAAATGGTTTTTTTAAAATCCCTGACACTCCCCACATTTCTAATTCTCACCCCTCACTGACTTCTTATACCCCTTCATTTACTACAGTCTTCAGAGTCACAAATGGAAAAGAGACCAGTACTCTGGTAAAACGCAGGGTGGGTTGAGTCTGTTTGTGTGATTAATATAGTTGTGGCCAATAGACATTTTGTAGTTTGCTAACTTAGATGTAAAAATAAAAGCAGCTTTGTTTTCCTATAACTGAACTTAATTTGTAACATGAGCAGCTATTTCATTCCAGTGGCTAGAAATTTACTCTCACACAATTCTGGATTAATCTCGTCAATTCCATTTTCTTCCTTACAATTCTAGTTAAGTTTTGAAAAGCTTTATTAGAATTGTCAAGTTCATTCTAAGAGGCTACACTAATTAAAACAGCATAGTACTAGTACAGAAATAGACACATTGACCAATGGCACAGAAGAGAGAACCCAGAAATAAACTCACATGCTTACAACCATCTGATCTTCGACAAAGTCAACAAAAACAAGCAATGACAAAAGCACTCTGTATTCAATAAATGGTGTTGGGATAATTAGCTGTACATATGCAGAAAAAAATGAACTGAACTCCTACCTATCCCCATATACAAAATTAACTGAAGATGGATTAAAGATTTCAACGTAAGACCTCAAACTATAAATATTCTAGAAGAAAACCTAAGAAATACTCTTCTCAACATTGGCCTTGACAAAGAATTTATGTCTAAGTCCTAAAAACCAATTATAATAGAAACAAAAAATGTCAAGTGGGCCTAATTAAATTCAGGAGCTTCTGCGTAGCAAGAGAAACTCAACAGAGTAAACAGACACCCTCTAAAATGGGAGAAAATATTCACAAATGATGCATCTGACGAAGGCCCAATATTCAGAATTTATAAGAAACTTAAACAAATCAGCAAGCAAAAACCAAATAACCCCAATAAAAAGTGGGTAAAGAACATAAATAGATACTTTTCAAAAGATGACATACAAGTGGGCAACAGGCATATCAAAAAATCTTCAACACCACTAATCATCCAAGAAATGCAAATCAGAGCCATGAGTCACCATCTCACACCAGTCAGAATGGTATCTGTTAAAAAGCCAAAAAGTAACAGATGTTCATGAAGCTGCAAAGAAAAGGGACATTTATACACTGTTAATGGAAATATAAATTAGTTTAGCCACAGTGGCGGGAAGTTTGGCAATTTCTCAAAGAATTCAGAGTTGAACTACCATTCAACCCAGCAATCCTATTACTGGATATATATACTCAAAGGAAAGAAAGTCACTGCAGCATAAAGATACGTGCACTTGGATGTTCCTTGCAGCACTATTCATAATAGCAAAGACGTAGAATCAATCTAGGTACTCATCATTGGTGGACTGGATACATAAAACGCAGTACATATACACCATGACACCATGGATTACTACACAGCCATAGGAAAAAATGTAATAATGTCCTTTGCAGAAACATGGATGGAGCTGGATGCCATTATCTGAAGTTGATTAACAGAAAAACAGAAAACAAAACACTGGGTGTTCTCACTTAAAAGTGGGAAGTAAACATTGGGCACACATGGATGGCAGCAACAGACACTGGGGACTAGTACACGACCTAATAGGTACTAGGCTCACTACCAGGATGAAAGGATCAATGGTACCCCAAACCTCAGCATTACACAATCCACTCAAGTTAACAAACCTGCACATGTACTCCATGAATCTAAAAAACAAAACGTTGAGAAAGAACTGTCAAGTTTAGGGAAAGGAAGGCATGCCTGGCTTATCTGTTAACTCCCCATTTTTCTTGTCTGGTCCTTGATTCCTCCCATTACCTAAAGTGGCATATTCTAGCAGGTCACATCACACTAGGGATGTGAGAATTTTTGCTAACTCTATGAACTTACGGCTTTTTCTCCATTCCCAGTACAGGGATCTTCATTTCCTTCAGGGCATGGAAACTGACTTTTATTTTGTCATACATTCTTTCTAGTCTATTATTTATAAGTGAACTTTATTTCTCAAATCCCTTAGGGTTCTAATATTTGGTTCTCAAAAAGGCTTGAAAATCATTGCCTCCCATACATAACGTCTCTACGAGTTTTGAAAATGTATTTGGGGAAGAAAAAGAAGCAGCCAAAAATAATTTTGTTGTAACCAGCATTTTTGGAGGTAAATAATAAGTGCTACCTCTAGGGAACAGGCGTTAAAGAATAAAAATGAATTACTGAGAAGAAATTAGATTGGTTACATTTAATTCGGTAGGTTTAGAAAATAAAGTTTTTAGAAGAATAAAGGTTTAAGTCATAACATATCTCCTCATGGTTAAGAAATCAAAATGGCTGCGTAAGAGCATGTTGTAAAAGAGATTTTCATTGGAGAACTCAACACCCCCTCACAACAGCCAAAACAGTAAGTGGACAGGAAATCACCAAGGATGTAAGAGGACCTCAAAAACCTACAGGATCTGGTAAACGTTTATAACATTTATAACACGCCACCTCTTCTACGCGCCCACAGAATAGTTATCAAAATAGACTATGAACTTGGCTATTAAAAAAACACTTACAAAAATTGAATCATACAGACTATGTTATCTGACCACAAGGAACAAACTAGAAATCAAAAGAAAAATAACAGCAAAGTCTCCAAGCAGTTGAAAACTACACACTTCTATATAAAAAAAAAAAAAAAAAAAAAGTGAGCAAGCGGAGGTTCAAGATGGCGGACTAACGTCCGGAGTGCGCCTCTCTCAGGGAGGGGTGGGACCCTGCGAGCGTATCGCATCGTCTAAGAAACCGTGTTGGAATCCAGCAAGGCAGCCAGGGGACTCAGAGAACGGAAGGGAACGAGGCTGAACAGCTCAGCCGACGTCCTTGCAGAGCCGCGGCCGCTCCACAGCGAGGAAGGGCGCGTGAGGGGTCCGGGGACCACTCCTCCCACGCGGCCTGTGCCTGCCTGAGACCCGGATGTTCCCGGCTGGGACCCGGATGTTCCCGGCTGAGACCCGGATGTTCCCGTCTCCCAGTCCGCGGATGCAGATAACCGCCTGGCGTCTTGGCGGAGGCGGCGCTCAGGTCTGCGGATCACCCCTAGCGGGCGGTGGACGCAGCGCCACAGCTGCACGGAGGCCACACGGTCGCACTGCCCGGAGGCCGCGCGGCTACCCCGCAGCAGACAGGGCCGGAGAGGAGCCCGCGTCCAGCCCCGTGGCCCCGCTTCTGCCGGAGCTCCGCAGGCGGGCACAGCTCCACGGTCCCCCGGGAAGCACCGGGACGCTGGGAGGGGGACCCCATTCACCCCTGCTGCTCATCGCCGGGCAGGCCTCGCCTGCGGGAGCTCCCAGCACAGAGGACCCACTTGCACCTGAATCCTGGGGGCAGGCAAGCACCTGGGTGACAGAGCAGGCAACCACACTCACCCAGGCTGCTCCCAGCCAGGAGGGACGTGCCAGCTGGGCAGAGCCACCTCTGCCTGACCTTGTGGTGGGCACAGCTCCAGTTCCCCGGGGCAGCACCCGGCGGGGGACCCGGTGACTCCACGCACCCCCACTGCCGGCTGCTGCCCTGCCCAAGACCGGGAAGTAGTCAGTTTCAGAACACTGAGAAGAGGGCGATGCCGGGATAACAGAGTGAGCGGGTGACAAGCATGCCTCCGTCCCTCCGCCGGACCCACCTGCAAGGGTAGAGCCCCTGCCTGACGGAGCCCCATGGACCGCACCACCTAACGAGAAAATGCAGGCACAAACCCAGTGATCACAGGGGGTTTCTCTGGTGTTCAGACCGGGGGAGGGATCCTCCCTTTCCTCCCCAACCCTTCAGGAAGCACTACTGCCAACTGCGCCAAAATAGAAAACCCTGTGGGTGAGTAAGAGCCTATCCACCGTCCAGCCCTCTTAAACCTCATCTGCAAGATCACAGCCCGAAATACAACATCAAAATATTTTGCAAGGATACAGTACCTGTGAAAACGAAGGCAGAAGTCCAGCTATAAATAAAGATTCTAAACGGAGTCTTGGCCCTCCGAAAACACTCAGAAATGAAGCCAGCTGAATATTTTCAACTTACGTCACAGTGAAAGGAACACCAGGCCTCATACGTGAGAAGGAATCAATGCAAGAATTCTGGACTCTAAAGCCAGTGTGTTCTCTTGCCTCCAAACGCACATACAAGTTTTCTAAAAATGGCCATCAAGGTCCAGGTGAAAGTTGAAGCCCAATCTAAGGACTCAAAGGTGTCCAGTAAGGTGATTAATTATTGATTAATTAGTAAAATAAAGCTCTATTCCTTTTAGGGTTATTACCTGGAATATCTTATCACTTGGTAAAGTACTAGTTGGTTCTAAAGTTAGATCGTCAAGTTCATCATTAGAATTTTCTCTTGATCCTTGGAAAATGCATGCATATACATATGATCTTTGGAAATAAAACTTTCACTTCATCACACAGCTTTTCTCCCTCCATTTTTACCTATTAGAAACACACACTTATTTCAAAACCTTTGTCTCAGCATATATTTTGCGTCTAGATTGAAACATAATAATAATCTAGTTTCATTATAGTCAAAATGTGTTGGGTTTTTATATGAGCTAAAGCATCTCTGGAATCTACCAAATTTATATATTGAAGGATTTGTGACAATTCAGTTATTACTTTAAGTATGAAGCATTTATTGCTATTTGTGTGTTTTCTCTATTAAAAGTCAATGATGAACATGATGCTACATTTTTATGTAGTCTTGGTTCTCTTTAGAAAAAATTACAAGTACATTCTGAGAAGGAAGCTATGTAATAATAAAATAATTTGATAACCAAGTACTGTTGCTTTAAATACAATCTAGAATATAATAGTCTCTTATATACAAACATACTAATAATAATTTATTTTCTAGCATAGCATAATATACCAAAAAGGGGTTGTTGGCTGCCTTTATTTTGTTGTTGGATAATTGGATAATCAGTATTACTGATAACAATAAGTCATTTCAGTTTTTTCATTTGTTTCGTGAGCAATAAAAAAAACCGTATTAAAGGGCTGAAACTTTCTGGCACTAACGATATTGAAAATGTCTGTTCTGCTTAGTCATTTGCTGTGGCGCAGCACCAGGACCCCTGTGGGGGAAATGAATGTTGAAATATTTTTCCTTTTTATTTCAGATTTTCATGGATGATAAAAATGCCTTCGAGGAATGAATGGAAAAGCTACAGAAATTGAATTATAATGGCAAAGTAAAATAACAAATCAATCAGAAAATCTAGATGAAATTCCATTGTTCCATGAAAATAAAAAAGTCATTGTTATTACTATTATTATTTTTACTTCTCAGTTAATTGCAATGGATGGCAGACTGAATGTCAAATCTTAGGAGATTGACAATTAATTTAGAAGAGAATCTTCAGGTCATTTTATTTATACAAATGAAAGAAACATTTATACATGTAAGTTGGAACAGTATGACTGTAATGAAGCATATTCAACCGCATTATGTGCAATATTAGAATCCAGCTGACAGTATTCACTTCCAAATGAAATATAAAACTGGCTTTATAAACATTTTTCTTTAGAAAATACAAAGATTCAGCTCTTCCCCTGGCTGTCAAATGAACCAATGTTTTAATGCCTGCTATTGGTATTTTTAAAGTTTTTCTGCAAATCTGAAGACTCTAAAGAACTATTTCTAAATACTAGGACTTTGCTAAAACTATAAAATGAGAACAAGTCGTCTTTCCTCTGTTATGCTTGCTAACTTGCTATCTAGTTAGAAACATTTTAGAACTTAGTAGTATTTCTCACACATCAGCTTAGCAAAACTAGAAAACTTTGAAAATGTGCTCTTTGGCAAGATTCTGAGAACCAGTTGCTCCGATTTCTTGGTGGAGGTACAAATTGATAGAAGCCCTATGGGGAGAACTAATTTGATAATATCTAAGAAACTTGTATTATTTGACTTAGCAATACCAAGTCTGCAAATATAGCTGTAAGATTCACCCCTCCAGAAATAGGGGAAATGCACAGGTTTTTTTCAGTATGCCATTACTGGTAAAAACAAAAAATTGGGGAATAAAATTAATGCCCACCAACCTAGAACACATCACCAAGTGGAATATTATCAACTGTAAACACACACACACACACACACACACACGAGAATGCAAATCACTGGGATAGATTTGTAAGTGATCAAAGCAAAGCAGAGGGTGCAGGATATTGTGTATATTGTATTAAAAAAAGAAGAAATAAGAATATATCCAAACACTGGACACGTACCTGTATATCAAACTAGGAACTAACAAAAATTATGGTTAAAAACTGGGCAGACAAGTTTGCAAGATTTGTATGAGTACGTTTAAAACAACAGTTTTGATCTTTAATCATACAAGTATTTTTACATACATGAAAATACATTAAAGGCAATAAAAAACAAATGCTAAAATCGAAAACATTAACAAGAAAAACAGTAGACTATGTTCACAGACTAAGATAGCCTGATGGTATTGGACATCCAAGGCAAGAAGCCAGCGAGAGAACTGATGGGGGGCGTGTGGGGCTATAGTCATCCATAATTTAGAACTCATACCCACCATCACGGTACTGAATCACGCAATAGACATTCTGTCTTCACGTAACATTTCACTCAATACTTTCTCCTGGAACTGAGCTAGCAGGGTCTACCATGACTTTGTCTAGTATGTCCCTAAAACAAGTTGGCGCAGTTTATTTTTCATTGCGAGACGACTGGGAAAAACTGTTTACTGTGTTCACTGAGCCCTTTGGGAGCTGCGATGAGCCAAATTGACAATTTAGGTTCTGATTGCTTTACCCATAATGCACTGAGCTGGTCAAAGGGGTGACTGAAAAGAAGATAACAGAAACTGATGAAAGCACAAATCAAGTGTGCAAATAAACATAATGCCAGGACTGTGGTTTGGTACCATGCCTGGTCAGTGGATGCTTCCATCACGCCTCTTCCTTATCCTGAAACCTACACCTGTCTCAGATCAAATTCAAAAATCTCTCGGTTGACATGCCAGTTTCTTGGTGTTCTCATTCCACTTTCTCTCCAGCTTGTTGAGATGATTCCATGCTTATATATATATGTCTAGCCTGTAATGCTTTCTCTCTTCTAAATGCCACGACCATTTTCTTCTGTGATTTCCCATTTTTTCCATCACTAAAGATCTATCCTTTCTTCTCTCTTTCTATCTTAATAAGACCAATTATTGATTTCATAATCACAGCTTCTAACAATTTGTTTTTCCCTTTAGATTAACCTTTTTCACTATACAATTCACTTGATAGTGTTAGAGAATCTCTACATTTCCTTCACATAATTGGGTATTTAAAATTAATTTCCACAGACAATTATAAAATTTCTAAAACATCTATCTTTTTCTATTTTTAACGCCTTCCAGAATTTGGGAAGTAGATGTTACTGACTTAATGAAGCAGCAGAACAGTGTTTTCAACACATCCAATTGAAAAAAATCTATTAACAGAAAGCATCTTATTTTATTTAGGTCTTTCTTATTTAGACTTTTAAAACGTATATTTTATAATTACATATAAGATTATTTAAACTGATGTAATTAACCCACAGTGGGGAAAACCCTTGATATCTATGTAATTATTCACTATCCAGATAAATTACAAAATTTAAAAACTCCAAATTTTTAATTTTGTTATCTAAATATTTGAAAATAATGTTCTCAATTGAAGTAATATTTTATTTTTTCCCAATGATTAAGTCCAGTGCTTGATAACAGAGTTGCTGGGTTTGCAAGATGTGTGAATTTAGAGGTTTCCACTCCTCCCTTACCTATATTGATGGAAGACAGCCCTATAGATGTCGAAGATTCTTCAATTAGAAGTGTATCAATTTGACCAAAGTCTTTTTATATTAAAATTTATATAATAAACCTTTATTCAAATGTGCCGAAAAGTCCATAAAATAATGTATGGACTTGAAAATTATGTAAATCAGCTCAATCCCTGAAAGGAAAGTTTGGATCGCAGGAAGTATATGGTCATTTGGTGGCTGGGAGCAAGTGCACATCCAAGATGAGCAGAAAAAGTGCACAAAAGATGAAGGACTCCACTGCGCCAAGAAAAATTGCAAATTACACATATTCTGCCTGGTAGAGAGAAGATGTATTTCTTAAGATATTTGTGAATGAAGAGATCTGGAGAATTGTGCTTTAAATATTTATCTGGCACTAAATTAAAAAACATATTGACACTTTGCTGCTGTGTTTAAATACCCAGATACGGAATGACAGTCAAATTGTTTTCTGTAAACTCACAGAACATTTGTGAATAGACGTGGCTTCTCCGTGTAAATCCCTTCTGGTTGCAGTGGCTGCCCTTCACCCTTTTTAATTTAGGTCCTGTTAGTTTTACAATACACATCAAACTGCCTTTTGACACCAGCTGCTCTGAGTGGCTGGCACCACACACTAGACATTTGGCAATAAAACATCACATGGTCAGGAAAAGCTAAATTCAACTGGATGTTGATGATCGATACACATGCCTTGGAAAGAAAAATCAATGTTCGCTTCATCAGACCTCTGCTTTGTACTTCAAGTGGTTATTTCTCTCCTGACAGTATGAGAGGTCATCTGATTTAATTAATAGAAAGTAATATAAACTGGCAAAAAAAAACAAAAAAACTTCGAATTACTAATCACTTATTTTACTTTCAGTAGAAACGAGGAAGAATAGTAGAATTTGAACTAGCAAGTTGTGATAAATTAGTGATTCAGTGCTTAATAAGCCTATTATAAAAGAGCTTTCATTTAGTACCCATTGAAAGTCAACACTTTCTTTCTATAAGATCGACAGACAATGAAAGTAAAATTAAATATAGCACTGCCATTATATGCCACAGAAATAAAGAGAATAGTCTCAGTTTTAGAAGGTCTATGGGTTTCTACATCTTGTCATATGCTTTTACTTCCATGATAATAGAAATAGCCACTTGACTTTTTTGAATATTATTTTTTGGTGAACTGAGGGGGCTGGGTTAGATGGTCTTCAGAATAAATTTAGATCCAAATATAAAGGTTAATTTATATACTTTTTTTAAAACCGAAAGTCTTTCTTACTTGGAGTTTTGGTGAAGTCAAGAAAGCAATGATGGGAAATGGCATATATATTTCTTTTATATAAAAATAAATAACACAAATTACTAAAATTTTATATTTTTACGATTTACTTACGTATTATTTAGTGTCACATTACTATGTAGTCATTATATAATTTTTTTATTTTGCTCACCAGATAATTATAGATATACAGTGAATAAAATCATAATATCTACCATAAAGCACCAATTGAAAAATGTGGCAATTATGAATATTCCTATGTAAGTGTTTGTAGACAGGTTTTTGTTTCGATTAGGGAAATACCTAGAATTAGAATTATGGAGTCATAAATACAGTTTCAGCTGTTTAATACAACTTTTTTTGCAAACTACTTCTACCATTTTCCAGTTTTACCAGCTTATGAACATTTCCATTGCTCTCCACCCTTGCCCATGTTAGATTTTATCATATTTTTCTATTTGTTTTATATCTGAGAGGTTTTAATTTACATTTCCCTGGATATAAGTGATATGGAGCACATTTCAGGTAGATACTGGTTATTTATAATCTTTCCTTGAAATGACTGCTACGAGTTTCCATATGAGCTCATTTTAGCTTTTAATATTAGTTCCAGAAATTCTTTATAAATATTAAATTTATCAAGAATTCAGCTCTTTGTTAAGGATTGTTTCACAAATATTTTTCCAAGTCTGTTACTTGTTCATTTTTTTTCAATAATGGAGTTTTTTTGAACAGAAGTTCTTTCATTTTAATAGACTCTATCCATTGTCATGATAATTTAATTCTGTACCATAAGAAATCTTTGTCACAGAAAGAAAAATGTATGTTAATTTTTTATCTTAAAGCTGTATAGATTTAGTTTCCACATTTATTTGTATCAATGAACTAGTTCAAACTAATTTTTATGTATCATGTTAAATAGGGGTTACATTTTACTTGTTCTATATGGATATTTATTTTAGCACCCTTTGCTGAAAAACATTTTGTTTTCCAATCACCTTTGTGTAAAATAAGATGATTGGAGTCTAATTTGTACTCAGAATTATGCTCCGTTTGCTGATTGAAGTTTTGCACCAAGCGACTTGATGACAGCAGTTCTCTGAGTCTAGGAATCACGTGGTGTGGGTCCTCTGACTCGGTGTCGCTCTGTTTTGTTTGGACTTTATTGCTTTTGCTCATTTGCATTATCTGAAATTTAGCAATAAACC